CCCTTTTTCCTTCTCCCCCCTCCCTCCCTCTCTGTTTCTTTCTTCTCCCCTCCCCCCTACCTGTGTAGTAGCATGGCCGAGCCTAGTATAGTCCGCGGGTACAGGGAGCTGTTGTTTCCTGTACCAGGCCGGACTAACAGGAAGTGAACACTCGGTGTTCACTTCCTGTTAGTCCGGCCGGGTACAGGAGACAGCTGCTCTCTGTACCGGTCGGAGCATGCCATACTGGGCTCGGCCACGCTACAGTGAGGGAGCTGACAGGAGGGAGCGCTGAGCGCTTCCCTCCTGTCAGCCTCTCCTCAGGCTGCGCCCGGGCAAAGCTGCAGCCGCCTGAGGCGCTCGGGTGGCTGCAGCATGGGGGGGCCGGCGCTCCTGGCGGCGCCCCTTCCCAAGGGGCGCCCTAGGCGGCTGCCTAGTACGCCTTACAGGTAGCGCCGGCCCTGTCTGCCTCCTCATCCGTCCCGCGACAAGCGGGTGCTAATGCGCATTCGCAGCAAATGCAAAGACCTCCCCATAGGAAAGCATTGAATCAATGCTTTTCTATAGGTAAAAATGGAACACTGTATGTCCTCATGCAGAGCGTGAGGATGTCCAGTGCCCGATACCGGACCAAAAGTCAGTTTTAATTCTGGTAGACAGCCAGTAGAGGCTGTAATGTAAACATTGCAGTTTTCTCTGGAACTGCAATATTTAGCATTGCAGCACTGGGTCTGGGTGCCTACAGTGTCCCTTTAAGAAATATTTTAAAAGATATTTGACTGTAACATGAAAAGTTAATACAGGTCACAGGTGGTTTTCTATGCTTTCTTTACTTTTTTTGTCAGAGTAGGTGATATGTGATTCTATATCTTGCTAGTCTCTTCTTGCTTTCTTTCTTATTGAGCAGAAGTCTGGCTTCATAACAACCGAAGTACTGCTTGTTCCTAGAGAAGGAACGTGTATGGGATTCTGTCGCTTGAGTTCTTTTCCTGTATGTGTTCTGTCTGCCTTTTCAGAGTAGTAAAGGGGCACTATGATTCCAGTTTTCAGATTTTCTGTACTGCCATGGATTGTGGACAGGTTGATGAGATATGTCTGGAAAATTCAAAGAAGCACAAATGTTCAGTGTAGACCCTACGTTTTTGAGTGAGGATGGAGTGTGGAGTATGTATATTGGAGTTCAAGGATAAAAGTGATGCCAACCATGGGATCCTGCTGGATTCACTGGTGGAAAAGATCTGCTGAAAATGGAAACTAAATGGAGTAATAGAAAAACTGTGTGAAGATGGCAACAGAGGCTAAATATTGTCTGTGAGAGCAAAAAACTTTTTTTTTTTTTTTTACTTTTTCACTTTGGTTTAACCACTTACACTCACAATGAACATGCATGCTACACTGCAGTCATGTCTGTACTGTTACAGATAGCCTTGTACTATGAAGTGATCATTATCTCTGAGATCTGGGTCTTCTGTATATCAACACAAAAATAAACTAACTCTAGATATTAGATATTACTTTGCTGCAGAGGGATTTAGATAGACTGGGGGACTGGGCGCTCAAATGGCAGATTAAATTTAATGTTGAAAAATGCAAAGTTATGCACTTCGGCGTAAAGAATACACATGCAATGTATACCCTTAATTGGAGCGAATTAGGGATAACAACACACGAAAAGGACAAGGGAATTGTTATAGACAACAAACTATGCAACAATGTGCAATGTCAATCAGCAGTGGCCAAGGCCAGTAGGGTATTGTCATGCATGAAAAAGGGCATTCATTCTCGGGACAAGAATATCATATATATATATATATATATATATATATATATATATATATATATAATATATATATAATATCCCTCACAACTATGGGTACGAAGCAGCTAAGCACTTTATGGAAAATCATTCAGACCTTACTCCTATCAAAATAGATTTTATTTTAGAAGCAACAGAACTCATTTTAAATAAGATTTTTTTCTGGTATAAGGAAGAATTTTTTCTCCAGATTAAAGGGACGGCCATGGGAACTAAGTTCGCCCCCAGCTATGCAAATCTATTTATGGCATATTGGGAGAATCACTTTATTTATGGACAGCATGACTGGGTGGAGAACTTGGTTACCTATGGCCGATATATAGATGATATCTCTTTTTATATGGAAGGGACAAGAAGAAGACTTATCCACTTTTTAAAATTGTTTAAACTCCAATATATGGGGAATTCAACTCACAAGTAATTGGAGTAAAAAAGTAGTAATTTTTTTAGATTTACACTTATATATTGAAAATTATTTTATTAAAACGAAAAATCATTTTAAATCTGTTGAAGCTAATAGCTTCATAGGTAGAGATAGTTGCCATTTTTTACCATGGCTGGAAAATGCCCTCAAAGGACAATTCTTAAGAATAAGAAGAAATTGTACAGATTTAGAAACCTTCGAGATTCAATGTAATAAAATTAAATCAGATTTTATGGAAAAAGGGTACGAAGTAACGAAATTAGAAAAATCAAGACTAGAAATTAAAGAAATAGGGAGAGATAGTATTTTACAATATAAAAATAAAGAGGGACACGAAAATAATGAGATTTCGTTTATATGTACATATAGTTCTAATAACTCCCAAGTCAGGAAAACAGTCTTGAAATATTGTCCCATTCTCCTTCAAGATCCGATTCTAAAAACCTTGCTCCCAGAGAAACCCTGTTTTATTCATAGAGGAGTAAACAATTTATGGAACACTTTAACCTCTAGTTTTATAAAAGAAAAACCTAATACTAACACGACCTCCCTCAACACAGAGAAAGGTTTCTTTGGATGCGGGCTGTGTTTAAAAAAAGACAAATAAAAAAATTTAAATGTAATGAAGGATATGAATATCCAATTAAAGAATTCATTACCTGTCACTCTAAAAACCTTATCTACCTCATGCAATGCCCCTGCAGGCTCAATTATGTAGGAAAAACTACAAGAGCCTTACACTTAAGGATAGAAGAACATGGCCGAAATATTAGTAAAGGTTTTGAAAGACATAGCATGTCATTATATTATAAAACTCATCATTGTGAAATAAAGGGTACTATTTTTTTGGGAGTTAATAAAATATCCAAAGATTGGAGGGGAGGTAACTTTAATCCAAAATTAAGTAAAATAGAAATGGTCTGATTCCCAGTGTGTTAAATTCAGACTTCGAAATGTGCCATTTCTTAACCTAATTTACCTTTTTCTATTTTTTTTATCCGTTTTTATTTTTTGATACTAAGAGCTAAAGTGTACCTCCCTGCATACCTTTTTGATACTTTTTTACACTTTTATACTTTTTTACAGAATGAGTCTTTTTGTCTAATTTTTAAAAAAATTAAAAAAAAATTTAATTTTTTTTTTTTTTGTATTAGCTTTATCCCTATTATAGGTGTTTTTACTGTTGAGGTCTACTTGTTTTTATCCTCCCTTATCCATCTAGAATGGTTCCTTTTTTTTTCTTCCTTTGGATTGTAGTTATCCCTCCTCCAATAGTGATTACTGGATTATATATCTATTATTATATTTGAATAAAAACGTAATCGCTACATTAGCCAATATGTATGCATAAATGTCAATTGTTTTGATGTACTAAAATATTCTTCAGAGAATGATGTAATCTAACTATATTATATTTATATATTTAAACTGTGTGTTTTGAGAAATCCATCATTTAACACAGCAAAGGACTTAGAGAGGCTGTAATATATTGTGGAACGC